GTGTCACTGGCTGCTGCTCCTTCTTCCATCCCAGACCTCTTAAATAATGGGGCTCCGCAGGGCGTTGTCCTGGGTTCTCTTCTCTCTCTCTGATTACCTCAGGGTGAGCTTATCAGTTACCATGGGTTTAAATACTTTCACTGTGCTGATGATCACCCCATTTTATCTCCAGCCTGACCTCTTCTATGAGCCCTGTACTCTCATAGCCAACTGCTTGTTGTCTGATAAAACATCTTAAACTTAATATACCTAAAACAGAACTTTGATTCTCCCCTGACCCGCACACACACCTGCTATATTCTTCCTTGTTTCAGTAAATAGTACTACCCTCCCCCGCATTTACTCAGGCCAAAAACCTGAAATCATTCTTGCTTTTTTCTTGTTGTTGTTGTTGATTGCCATCGAGTCGATTCCGACTCATGGCGACCCCGTGTGTGTGAGCAGAACTGCTCCATAGGCTTTTCAAGGCTGTGACCTTTCAGAAGCAAATTGCCAGGCCTGTCTTCTGAGGTGCCTCTGGGTGGGTTTGAAGCATCAGCCTTTCAGCTAGTAGTCGAGTGCTTGACCGCTTGCGCCACCCAAGGACTCCTTTGTCTTTTCCTACCTCCCTTGTATCTCCCCCACTCCCATTAGCAAGTCCTGTGGATTATGTTTCCAAAATGTATTTCGAATCCGCTGCCTTCTCTCTTTCTCCACTGGCAGACTGCCTCCACTGTAGTCTAGACCACCACCATCTCTTATCTGGATTACTCCCACAGCCTCCTGGCCAGTTTTAGACCTGTGTTCTTGCCCTCCCCCCATTCATTCTACTCCTGTTATGAGAATAATCACACATCAAACTGTTCACCTCGCCGTTTAAAAGCTTCGGTGGCTTCCCACATTCCCTGCCTGGACCTGCACAGTCTGGTCCTGCCGAGCTCTCCAGTTTCAATCCATGTCACTCCTCCTCCACTTACTACGTTCCGGTGACACTGGTCTTATTTTAGGTTCTTAACATTCCAAGCTCTTTTCTCCCTCAGGATCTTTACACATGCATTTTCCTCTTTGCCAGCTAGCTCCTTTTCTTCCTTTAATAGGGTTTTAGCTTAAATTCACCTGCTCCAAGAGGTCTTTCCTTGACCTCCCTACCTAAAGGAAATTATTCTTTTAATTTCCTTTCTAACACTTGCTAAAAACAAACAGAAAAAAAACCCCAAAAAACCAGCTACCATCAAGTCGATGTGTGTCAGAGTAGAGCTGTGCTCCATGGGGTTTTCTTTTTCTTATTGTTATATTTCATAGGTTTTCAGTGACTGATTTTTTAAGAGTCGATTGCCTCCAACCTTTCATTTAGCAGCCAAGCTCGTTAACCATTTGCACCACTACGACCTGCAATTATTTTGTCTGTTTACTTCCTTTTCTCCTCCAGTGGAAGAATGTAAACTCAGTGAGGGCAGGGACTGGGTCTGACTTGTTCACTTTTATAGCCCCAGTGCCTCCAGCAATGCCTGGCATGTAGCAGCCACTCACTAAATATTTATGAAATTATAGGAAGAAGGAAGGGGAAAGCAAAGGAGAAGTGGATCAGTTGGGAAGGAGGAAAGAGAAAAAGAGGGAGCATGTCAGAGAGAAGGGGCAGATAGAGAAAGAAAGAAACACTTATTAGGCAGCTGCTGCACTCTTGACTCCTTCAAATATGTCCTTCCTGTGTTGTTCTAGTCTTGGTCCTAGCCATCACCAGCATGCTCATGATAGGTTGAACGAATTACCTAACGTGCTGTATTAGGTTCTTCAGAGAAACAGACCAACAAGGTACATATATAGAGAGAGATTTATTGTAAGGAATTGGCTCACATGGTCGTAGAGGCTGGCAAGTCCAGAATCCATAGGTCAGGCCACAGACTGGAAACCTCGGCAGTCTCGTGTCCAAAATCAGTAGGCTGGGCGATAGGCCAGAAACTCTAGCAGGATAGCTGTGTTATGGTCTTGAAGAAGAATCCTTCTCCCTAAGAAAACTTCAGATTTTCCTCTTAAGGCCTTTAATTGATTGGATGAGGCCCACCCACATTTTGGAGGGTGATCTTCTTTACTTAAGGTCAGCTGATTTAAATGTTCATCACATGGAAATACTTTCCCAGCGACATCTAGACAAGTGTGTGACCAAACAACTGGGCACCATTGCCCAGGCAAGTTGACACACAGAATTAACCATCACACATGCTAAGATGTCCTCATCTTCCTCAAACCCCTGAGCCTTCTGTCCGTATGTAACATTTGAGACTCTGGTGCCCATACCAGTCATGGCTGCCAATTTTTACCGTGGGCCAGGTACTCTGCTAAGTGCCTTCCACACAGGATTCCATTTAACTGCAGAGTGACTGACTCTCTCCTCTCTCCCCACTGCAGGTACACAGAGATGAATCATATAGCTAGTGAGTGGAGGAGGACCTTGGGATTCTTTATGGCTATAAAGGCTGTGTTCCTTCCACCAAATCAGGCCATTTATCTCTAGTTGTTTCCTAAGTATTAAACAACCAATGGGCAGATGGCTGTTAAATTCGTATCTTCTATCACAGGTTAAAAATAAATCTCCCAGAGGGCTGTGGGGACCATGGTCTCGGGGAACATCTAGCTCAGTTGGCATAACACAGTTTATGAAGACAATGTTCTACATTCTACCTTGGTGAGTAGTGTCTGGGGTCTTAAAAGCCTGTGAGCAGCCATCTAAGATACTCCACTGGTCTCATCCCTTCGGGAGCAAGGGAGAATGAGGAGAACAGGATACAAGGAAAAGATTAGTCCGAAGGACTAATGGACCACAGCTACCAAGGCCTCCACCGGACTGAGTCCAGTACAGCTAGATGGTGCCCGGGTATCACCACTGACTGCTCTGACCAGGATCACAACAGAGGGTTCTGGACAGAACTGGAGAAGAATGTAGAACATAATTCTAACTCACAAAAAAAAGACCAGATTTATTGGCTTAAAGGAGACTGAGAAACCCTGAGAGTATGGCCCCCAGACACCCTTTTAGCTCAGTGGTGAAGTTATCTCCGAGGTTCACCGTTCAGCCTGGGAGTGGACAGCCCCGTAAAACCAAATGGGACTAATGAGGTACAGTAGTCCAGTGACAAGGGCCAGAAGGCAGAAGGGGACAAGGAAGCTGGTGATAGGGAACCCAAGGTTGAGTAAGGTTATTGTTGATGTGTTGTGAGATTGTTAACCATTGTCATAGGGCAATATGTGTAGTAACTGTTAAATGAGAAACTATTTTGTTCTGTAAACCTTCATCTTAAGTGAGAATAGCAGCACCATTGGAAGAGCGTAGTCAATGTCACTGAACTGTGCCTGTAGAAATTTTTGAAATGGTGTATCTTTGGCTATGTGTATTTTCACCAAAAAAAAAAAGGTTGAGAAGTTAGAGGGTTGACGTGTTGTGGGGTTGTTAACCAATGTCATAAAACAGTATGTGTACTACTGTTTCATGAGAAAACTATTTGTTCTGTAAGCTTCACCTGAAGTACAATAAATAAATAAATAAATCTCCTAGTCATACCTCTGCTTACTCCCCACTCCCTTATCACCCTCTTCTAACCACCATCATCTCTTGCCTGGATTGCTGCAGTCAGCTCTTAATGGATCTCCCTGCCTTCCCACTTGCCCCCTTACAGTTCATTTTCCAGCTGCTGGTCAGATTTCTTTTATAAAACATGTAAATAGGATCATGCCACTCTCTAGCTTATCCTCTACAGTTCTTCTCGTTATTCTTAAAATAAAACCCAAATTCCTGACATGACCTATCAGCCCCACGTTATCTTGCCCTGTCTGTTTCTCTGACCTTATGTCCCCCCACTCTGCTCTGCTGCAGCTATACTGGCCTTCTTACAATTCCTTTAACTGCCAAGCTAGTTTCTATTTCAGGGTCTTTATATTTCAGGTTCCTTCAGCCTAGAACTGGCTTCCCCACCTAGATCTTTGCAAGGCTGGTTCATTTATATAACTGAAGACCTGATCTAAATATTGTCTCCTTACCACATTGTCTAAAATAGTTAACCTAACACACATAAATATAGTGAAAGTTTGCATGTTGCTATCATGCTGAACCCGTTTCAGTGGAGCTTCTAGACTAAGACAGACCAGGAAGAAAGGCCTGGTGATCTACTTCCTAAAATCAGCCAATGAAGACCCTGTGGATCACAGTGGTCCGGTACGTAACCAGACATGGGGCGCAGGACCGGGCAGTGCTTTGTTCACTGTGTGTGGTGTCACCATGAGTTGGAGCCTACTCAATGGCAGTTAACAACAACTTATCACCACTTGTCTGTGTGGTGGCTTGCATGCCACTGGTATTTCAAATACCAGCAAGGTCACCCATGGTGGATAGATTTTAATGGAGCTTCCAGACTAAGACAGACTAGAAAGAAAGGCCTAGCGATCTGCTTCTGAAAATTAGTCATTGAAAATCCTGTGAATCGTAAGAGAATACTATCCAATGTAGTGCTGGAAAATGAGCTCTCTAGGTTGGAAGACACTCAAAACATACAGTGGCCGAAACGGGACTAAAAATCATGCTGGCAATCAGGAGGATGGCACAGGACCAGGCAGCATTTTGTTCTCTTGTACCATGGGGTTGCCGTCAGTCAGAGCTGACTTGGCAACTAACAACAACAACCTCCCTTTAACCTGCCTTATTTTCTTCATTGGAATTTTATTCTTTATTTTCCGCTTGTTTGTTTTTACTCTCCTCCGCTAGTGCAAAAGCTTCATGAGGGTAGGTCCTTTGGTTTACTATATTTTTAAGAACAATGCCTCGTACCTAGTGAGCACTCAGTATTTGTTGACATCATGAGAAGGAAAAATCTCATTGTTTTATGTACTTAATAAAGATTTTATTTCCTTTGGGTAGGAGTCGCCAAGTCTCTGTTCTTAGGAGTTTTGAAAATTACTATTGTATAATGTTGAAAATTCTAATACTATGTGACTCCATGGATTGAAATTGATTTTCCCTCCAACTCTTTTAGAACTCATCAAATTGAGGCTGTTCCAACCAGTTCTGCATTTGATGGATTTAAGGCAAATCTTGTCTTTAAAGAGATTGAGAAGAAGCTTGAAGAGGTAAGATTTATATGAAATACTAACAGGAGGACCCTCAGGCTAGAGTAAGCAGACACAAGTTTCAGGTATTGTTGTGAGGTGGTACAATTTGAAAATTTATATCATGTTGTCTAGTATTGAGTGTATTTTAGATTTCTGAGTGTCTATTATGGCTTAGATGTAATTATGGTAAGACGGTATTTCAGAAATGTGTAAATTTTTAGATTTGAGTTATTTAAAGAGCTATAGTAAAATGCTGTTAAAATCTTACTTCACGGGAAAAGCCTAACCTTTATCACTCTTTTTTGTCCTATCGTTTGTCAGGGAGATATTCAATTATAGACAAAGTTCATGTGTGTTACGGATTGAATTGTGTCTCCCAAAAATATGTGTTGTAAATCCTAACCTCTATGTCTTTGGTTATAATCAGGCAGTATTAGTGTAGGGTGTGTCTTGAGGCAATCTCTTGAGATATGAAAGAGATTAAACAAGCAAGCGAATAAGCAGAGATAGGGGAGGAGAGATGCCAGGCCACATGAAGATCACCCAGGAACAGAAGCTAAAAAGAGACAAAGACGTTCCTCCAGAGCCGAAAGAGAGAAAAGCCTTCCCCTAAAGCCAGCACCCTGAATTTGGACTTTTAGCCTCCTAAACTGTGAAAAAATAAATTTCTGTTTGTGGTATTTCTGTTATAGCAGCACTAGATTACTAAGGCAATATGTAAAGGGATCCTGATTTATTTTGGTGTAATTTCCTTCTGAATTAAAAAGATCTTACTTAGAATCATTTAAAGGAGTAAGATTTAAAATGAGCCTTTTAAGGAACCTAATGTCAAAATTCTTTTTAAAAAGGAATCTTTCGTGCTTAGTTTTTTCAGAGTGATTTTTAATTTGCTTTTTCTTGTTCTAAAAATGATACTAATTTTTAAAAATCCAAACTATACAGAAACATGTAAAAAAGAACATTAAAAAATCTTCTGAAATTCTACCACTCAAAATAGACTAAAATGTTAATAGCGGTTAATTTCTTTCAGACATTTCTCTGTGTATGTATAAACACACAATTTTACATAACTAGGATCATACAACTTTGAAAGACCAGTGATTTCTTCATTGTAAATACCTGTTTTCAGCAACATATAAACGTCGACTATACGTGTGGACCTCACCAGATGGAATAAGCAGGAATCAAATTGACTACATCTGTGGAAAGAGATGATGGAAAAGCTCAGTATCATCAGTCAGAACAAGGCCAGGGGCCAGTTGTGGAACACACCATCAATTGCTCATATGCAAGTTCAAGTTCAAGCTGAAGAAAATTAAAACAAGTCCATAAGATTCAAAGTATCACCTTGAGTATATCCCACCTGAATTTAGAGACCATCTCAGGAATAGATTTGATGCATTGAACACTAATGAACAAAAACCAGACAGGTTGTGGAATGACATCAAAAACATCATACATGAAGAAAACAAGAGATCATGAAAAAGACAGAAAAGAAAGAAAAGACCAAAATGGATGTCAGAAGAGACTCTGAAAGTTGCCCTTGAATGTAGAGTAGCTAAACTGAAAGGAAGAAATGATGAAGTGAAAGAGCTGAACAGAAGATTTCAGAGGGCGACTAAAGAAGACAAAATAAAGTATATAATGAAATGTGCGAAGACCTGGACTGGAGTTAGAAAACCAAAAGGGAAGAACATGCTCAGCATTTCTCAAGCTGAAAGAACTGAAGAAAAAATTCAAGCCTCAAGTTGCAATATTGAAGGATTCTACAAGGAAAATATTAAACAAAGCAGGAAGTATCAAAAGAAGATGGAAGGAATACACAGAGTCACTGTACCAAAAAGAATTGGTCAGCGTTCAACCATTTCAGGAGGTAGCATATGATCAAGAACTAGTGGTATTGAAGGAAGAGGTCCAAGCTGCATTGAAGGCATTGATGAAAAACAAGGCTCCAGGAATTGACAGAATACCAGTTGAGATGCTTCAACAAACAGATGCAGCACTGGAAGCACTCACTTGTCTAATGCCAAGAAATTCGGAAGACAGCTACCTGGCCAACTGACTGGAAGAGATCCATATTTGTGCCCATTCCAAAGACAAGTAATCCAACAGAATGCGGAAGTTATCTAACAAAATCATTAATATCACACACAAGTAAAATTTTGCTGAGGATCATAAGCAGTTGCAGCAGGACATTGACAGGGAACTGCCAGAAATTCAAGCTGGATTCAGAAGAGGACGTGGAACAAATGATATCGTTGCTGATGTCAGATGGATCATGACTGAAAGCGAAGAATACCAGAAAGATGTTTACCTGTGTTTCATTGATTATGCAAAGGCATTATACTGTATGGATCATAAGAAGTTATGGATAACATTTTGAAGAATGGGAATTCCAGAACACTAGTGCTCATGCAGAACCTGTACATAGACCAAGAGACAGTTGTTCGAACAGAGCAAGGGGATGCGTGGTTTAAAGTAAGGGAAGGTGTGCGTCAGGGTTGTATCCTTTCACCATACTTATTCAGTCTGTATGCTGATTAAATAATCTGAGAAGCTGGACCATATGAAGAAGAACATGGCATCAGGATTGGAGGAAGACTCATTAACAACCTGTGATATGCAGATGACACAACCTTGCTTGCTGAAAGTGAAGAGGACTTGAAACACTTGCTGATGAAGATCAAGACTGCAGCCTTCAGTACGGATTACACCGCAACATAAAGAAAAGAAAAATCCTCAGAACTGGACCAGTAAGTACCATCGTGATAAATGGAGAAAAGATGGAAGTTGTGAAGGATTTCATTTTACTTGGATGCACATTCAACGCCCATGGAAGCAGCAGTCATGAAATCAAACACGCATTGTATTGAGCGAATCTGCTGGAAAAGACCTCTTTAGAGTGTTAAAAAGCAAAGATGTCACTTTGAGGACTAAGGTGCCCCTGACCCAAGCCAGGGTGTTTTCAGTCACCTCATATACATGCAAAAGCTGAACATGAATAAGGAAGACCAAAGAAGAACTGACGCCTTTAAATTTTGGTATTGGCAAAGAATATTGAATAGTCTGTGAACTGCCAGAAGAATGAACATATCTGTTTTAGAAGAAGTATAGCCAGAATGCTTATTAGAAACAAGGATGGCAAGACTTTGTCTCACATACTTTAGACATGTTATCAAGAGGGACCAGCCCCTGGAGAAGGACATCATGCTTGGTAAAGTAGAAGGTCAGCGAAAAAGAGGAAGAGCCTCAATGAGATGGATTGACACAGTGGCTGCAACAGTGGGCTCAAGCATAACAACAATTATGAGGATGTCTCAGGACCGGGCACTGTTTCATTCTTTTGTACATAGGGTCACTATGAGTCAGAACCGACTGGATAGCACCTAACAACAACAGCAAGGCAACCTGACAGTAACTCTTTCTCCAAAAAGAGAGTGAGTCTCTTCAGTCAAAATTACATATTTACTTCACTGTTTCAAACTTAGAGGCATCTTAGAAGTTCATTATTGCTTTTAGTTAGCTACAGTCACACAATTCAAATTAAACATCACTTGCGGCGATCAAAGTGGGCTGGTGTAAACAAAGCTGTGTATTTTGTTGTTAGAGCCACAATGTGCAAGGCAAACATTGTGCACATGTCATAACTCCCTTATTGTAGAGCAAATGACTTTGCTTGGCGGGGGGAGAGGCGGGCAAGTGATGTGACTGATGTGTCTTGTCAAGGGATGCTACATTTCTAGAATTTTCGTAATGATAGACAACCTTCCTGAGGTAGAATAGGACCAGGGCTAACAATTCTAGGCGGGTAGGCACTGGCCCAGGAGCTTCAGATCTGTCCTGCTGCCGTCTTGGGGGGATGTACCTGCATGGGTCTACCTGTTGTTTTCTAACCTTTTTTCTCTTGACAGTATGTCCCATGCCCATAAATATAAATCCTTACTATCATTTTTAATGACCACATAATACGCATTTGTATGTCTGTACCATGGTTTATTTAACCAGCTTCCTATGATGGGTATCAGGGTGTATCTAAATTTTGCAATTAAAACAATGCTATAATAAATTTCCTTTTGCACTCATTTTAAGTATTTATGCCATAATCACCTTAACATAAATAATTAAATGGGAAAGTTGTTGGGTCATACGATGTGTACGTTTTGCATTTTGATACATACCGCCAAACTATCCACCAGAAAGAGGGTACTAACTTACAAACGGGTCATGAGAGTGACTGTTTTTCACACTTTCTCCAGTATTGTGTTGGCCAGTTTTTTAAAATCTTTGCCAATCTAGTAGGAAAAAAAATACCATTTTTGAAAATTTCTTTCATTACAAGTGTCCACAGTAAAATGAAGTTGGACTCCACCAGCAGAAATTTTTTTTCATGCCACTAATACTTACTTGCAGAGCAACCCATAGGATACATATTTTCCACCCTCTTCTATAAAAAAAAATCAAAAAATAGTTGAGATTATCTATGACATGATCTATGACTATATGTGTGTGTTTGTATATATATATACATATATATATACATAAATGCATATATGTATATATAAAACCACACCTGTTGCTGTTGAATCATTTCCAACTCATAGCAACCCTATAGGACAAAGTAGAACTGTCTGTAGGGTTTCCAAGGAGAGGCTGGTGGATTCAAACTGCCGACCTCTTGGTTAGCAGCCGAGCTCTTAACCACTGCACCACCAGGGCTCCATACGTGTGTACACACACACACACACACACACACACACACACACACACACACACACACACACACACTTGACTTAATTGACTTACTAAGATTAACAAAGCAGTGCTGTTTTTATTTTGACGTTTTCTTTTAACTTTTGCAAATGTATGCCTTTTGCTCCCATTTTAATTCTTTTCTCCTCCATAACCTTATCCCCATGGACCTTCTCCCGTTGTTTCTTTTCTCCTTCCCACGATTGTCAGTTTCCTAAATGTTTGCAGGACTAGAAAGTGAAAGTCTTGGAATCTTTTGTCAATTCATG